ATAGTGATCGTAGAAAAACAGCTATTCTCTACTATAGCACTATCCAAAGTAGGCTTTAACGCATCAAAATGCAACAGTAATCTTCACCGTTCGTTGTTGTCATTTTCCGCGAGCTTACATTAAGTGACAGCTTTATCACTCGCCGTGCAACAAAATTGACAGCTTTATTGCTCGCCTTCTTTCTCATGGCGAACAGCATGTAAATTGAGCATGCAGAGACATGAATATATTTAGTAATAGACCGTCAAATAGTGACCGATTTAGATGCCCCATTTTCGCATACAAGCCTCGAAGAGGGTTGAAAAGTACATCGATGTTGAGTAGGATAAAAGAAAATTTACGAGTGGCTCTTGAGGATAACACATGGAAAAAATTTTCGACCCCAAAATGCACTTATACATTCGGATCATTCAAACCAATATGTTTTTCGGACTAGTGACGTTTTTATACATTCGATGGGCTTGTGTGGAAAAATCGGGTAAACTTCCGATTTATCCTTAGAAGATTACGCCCTTATTTCAACCCTTTAGTCACTTGCAACATTAAAGCCTTTGGTTTTCCGAAGCCTAGTTCTATTTATTAATCATATAGTAAACACGACTTGCGTGGAAATATGGGCAAAAACTAACCTTTCTTTTTTGTTAGGGACAATCGAATTTTCCATGTGTTATCCCCAGGAGCCACTCGTAAATTTCCTTTAATTCTACTTAAAATCGATGTACTTTTCAACCCTCTTCGATGCTTGCATGCGAAAATGGGACACCTAAACCTATCACTATCTGACGATCTATAAATGAAAATTAATTTCCACCTTTATTCACAATATAATTATTAGTTCTTAGGAGAAATTAAACGATATTTATAAACAGTATCCACTAGAAAGATTCAGGTGTGAGGTTTTCTCAACTGGTTAGAAATACTCTCACTTGGGACGTTCGAACTGGGTGTGCTCGGGCGCCAGTTTGTTTTATACAGAGATTTATGACAAGAGAATGAAATGCCAGGTTTCAATTTGACACAATTATTGTTCAGTATTTACAATCGTTTCGGTTAATATTAGGTGAAGCTAAATAATTGTATTTACAAGCCCTCCCCAAGTTATTGGATCTAACACTGAACAACATAAAAAAAATTCGTAACGGAAAATAATGGGCAAAATAAAATAAAAACTCAATCGGACAAATGAGGGGTTTATGAATAAAACGGTGTCGGGAAAACGGCGGTCAAACCAGAAGTACTACGCGGCGTTGTAGCAAGTCTACGGTCTTCGGCATGGCGAACTTTTGGAATCTCATGAATTTCTCCTCTAAGCGTCTTAGAGCTTTTGACTATTAAGTTATCCCTAAAGCGAGAAATATAGAGACACTGTGGGGAGTACACGGGAGCGGAAGTAATGTGCAACAGAGAAATTGCAAATCTTGCTACAGCCTAACGGACCACAAGATTAATATCCTGGCGACGCAACTCCTGAGGATTGCGCTCCAGGCTTATGTAACCTCGTATAAACCAGACTCTGGGAGCGAAGCCGAATCAGCCCATTCTACCACGCGGGATAGTCACTATAAATCGACTTACAATTCAGAGTCCAGTCAACTGGTCGGGAATTTACTAAAATTTTAACTAACGATGGGGACAGGGATCAGAATTAAACAAACCAAAAGAACGTTAATCGCGGAGCCAAAGAAATTTACAAGAGGAATACAGACATGTACTAAACGGCAGCGAAGGTAGCTAAACTTCACTTCTGTTCAATATCAAATCCGGAACATGTCATCTGAGTTGGTTACCAAATTAGCCCATTCTACTGCGGGAGTAGTCACTGTCTTCAATAACAACTCAGACGATACTCTAAGTCAGGGAATTTTACAGCGGAATGTACAAAAGAAATACTTAGGAAGGGAATCAAATCAATTAGTTACTTAATGAATGTTCAAGAAATGCATGTTACTCCATTTGAAAGAATTCAAAAGTTAAAATTGAAAACTACGATTGAGTAATTTCTTGGCAACCCGGTATAATTGATTTTAAACAAAATGTTTGGAGAAATTCAAACCACTTCTAAGTTAATCACTCACCCGGTATAAATATTTTTCAAACTAATATTTATAAAATTAACGGAAACTAAATTTTGTTTTAGTTTAACGGTTTTTAATTGAAATAATTTGAATTATTTTATACGGCCTCTCTCTCAACGTTATTGTAAAATTAGCAGACAAAATCCGGATTTGCTTCCAAAATACTGATAAAGTTTCAAATAAAAAATTGATTAAAAAGAAAATATAAACAACTCGAGAATTTAACGGATTTCTGCTAATTTCACACGGTTTTCGGAACACACGGTTGAATGAATCTACAAGAATAATCTAATTACCTATCGGAATAGTGTACCACGGAAAAACAAAAGAGATTTTGAAATTTTAACGGAATTGACGCAATATCGCATTTCGGTCTCAAAACAACTAGACAGAGGAGAGCCTAAGGGTATGGTCCGTTATTAACCGAAATATCGGTAACTCGATCCAAAACTAACCGCTCTGCTTGACATTCCTGAAAAATCGGTTAAATTAGGGACGCGGTTAACTGAACACAAATGATACAGTTCTTTTCTCACAGAACCGGGATGGAACTTAATATTCTTTGAATTTAGCCAATTCTGTAAATCTTTTTTAACCACTTGGTTGTGGGCATTTTTTCTATAAGTCTCGAGTGATAACTTGCATTATCCATTACTATTATACAGTTCTGAGGAAGAAGATCTATAATTTGTTCGAACCACTCTTTAAAGACATCAGCATTCATGTCCTCATGGTAGTCACCGGTACGAGTAGATTCAAAAGTCAATAAACCACCTTTAACAAAACCGTTTGAACTACCGATGTGTACTATTATTAGTCTGCGCCCCTTTCCTGATGGTGGATTTAAACCAGTAGATAAATTATTTAAAAAATCCTGTCTTCGACTTGTAACAGTTTCATCTTGCCAAAATGTATTTGGTTTATGTCCCTCGTTGATCCATGTTTCATCTAAATAAAATATATTTCTTCTTTGGTTTCTCATTTCTTTTATAGTCCTTAGGTAATTTCTTCTCCATACTACAATATCGCTTCTTTCTATTAAAATAGACTTTCTGGAATGCTTTTTCCATAGAAAACCTATTTCTTTTAAAAGTTTTCATAGTGTGCTTCGACTCATTTCAGGGTAATCCTTATCATCTCGAACCGTGGCAAGAACTTTGTCTACTGTCGGAAATTCTTTTCTAAAGAAGAACGCATGCACTTTCCTTCGAAGTCTTTCTTTCAAAAGATTTTCTAATTGAAATTTTGGTTTTCCTGGAGCTTTACGTGCTGTTTGAAACTCGCCACATTTCTCTTCTTTAACAACTCTGTAAATAGTAGATTTCCCAACACCAAGCGTACTACTAACTAATTCCACTGTGTCATCAACGCTTTTACATAAATGTTTGTCTGTAAATGATTTAAAACAATTAAATATTAATGTTTTTTCATTAACTGTTAAAGGACCGATTTTTTGTCGTTTACGCGGCCTTTCCAAATTTTCCATGATCACACTAGAATTCACACTGCACCTTGCAAGTTACAACTAAACGACATTTAGTAAATTGTCAAGAATACACAACTTGGACCTCCTTACTAAATGGAAAACCTATAATCACATTTTCGGTAAAATTTGTTGGGAAGGTATTTATCTACTTATAATTCGATTACTGTAAGAAATTCTTGGAATTAAAATAAAACAAAATTGGCAAATAGGTACTTATTGAAAATAATCTTAAGATAATCTTAATACACAGGGCTTTTGGCCTGTCCAAACCTTTTTCTATTGTTCTGTACAGCATATGTTTATAAAGAACCAATAAAAGACCCAAAACTTGTAATAGCTCAGGTAAATTTATTACATTAAGTGTAAAGGTTAAAGAAAAGGTCCTTTATTTCTCACAAGTCAATGAGACTTGTGAGAAATAAAGGACCTTTTCTTTAACCTTTACACTTAATCCCTACTACTCACATATGGCTACCCTCACTCCAAATCATACTGCCAGTCCAGCAACTTTAGCCAGTAGCTACAGATCGTTTTTGACTTGTGAGAAATAAAGGACCTTTTCTTTAACCTTTACACTTAATCCCTACTACTCACATATGGCTACCCTCACTCCAAAACATTTATTACAATTTTAGGAAATATTTAGATTATTCTGTAAAAATATTTAAAATGACCGTACTAAGTTTTGCATTAGAAATGCTGTTTTATTACTCTCTCATACATAAAAATAGACTATAATAACGGACCATACCTTAAAATTACCTACGTTCTTCAGCTCTCGTGCCGATCTCAAGTGCGCGAGATTGGTAGTGGGACGCGATGAATTTACAGCAATAGGAAATTTAAAATAAAATCGATAATTATTTGCAAATCGGGGGAATTTCGGAAAATAATAATTCAAAAATCGGAGAACTTTAAGAAAAGGGTTGATCCAGTTAATCAAAAATAGGAATAAATTTTTAGTTCATAACAATATTATACACGATTCGTAATTTTTAGACTTTCCAAGTAGGCTATTTGCAATTAAATTAATTTAATATTTTCAGTTTGTATATCTATTTCTTAAAATAATGTGATCGTAGAAAAAATTTTGTGTGCATTTTGAGCAAAAAGTTCGCTGCCGCTTTCGATAGATTTCCCGCTAAATTAGAAAAAATACTTTGCTGCCCTTCTACGGTTCCGTAGACCATGCAATTATTAACATATATTAATTATATTATTATACATATAAAGTGAATTAATGAGGATTCGCCACTTTTCTTTTACATCAGAAATTATAATATTAATAGATTTAAAATTTATAAATCAAAAATTAAACTTAGATACAAAATTATGATAAATTCCAATGCATCTTGTCGTATAGGAAAAAGTTAAGCTCTTTTATCTATTAAAACTAAAAAAAATCAACATAACTACATATTTTTATCTTACTTTTCTAGCAAAAGCTGCAGCAGAAAATGACATCCCAGTATTCAAAATAAAGGCATGGAGAAGAGCTGGAAAACCATTACCAGAAGTCCTGCACCAATATAAGAGCGTGAATGCTGATCTTAACGTCTTACCTTATTGCTCCCAATTCATCCCAATGGAAGTTATCAATTATCCAAGAATGAAGAGTATTTGCTATCATCCATCTATTTTACCCAGACACAGAGGAGCGAGTTCCATAAATTGGTAAGTTTACCATTTGCTGCATTTTAAACCATTTTATCGAAGGCTTTGCAGTGAGTAAAACTTATTTTTATCAACTTATAATTTAAAAACTTGATGTTCCGATGACCGAAACTAATTTTTTTGTAGGACGTTGATTTGTGGAGACAAAAAAGCAGGTCTTTCCATATTCTGGGCCGACGACGGTTTGGATACTGGTCCAATTCTTCTTCAAGAAGAATGCGATGTAGAAGAAAACGACACAGTCGACACGCTGTATAAACGGTTTTTGTATCCAATAGGTGTTTCTGCAGTCGCAAGAGCTGTGGATATGGTAGCAGATGATACTGCCCCTAAGATAACGCAGAGCGAAAAGGGAGCTACATATGATCCTATGCTGAACAAACCTGAGTTACAAAAGGTACAATGACATTCAAAAGAAACCAATCTTTTTTAAAAGTAATGAAGCTAATGAGAGTGTTTCTCTTAGATCGATTGGACCAAAACGGCTCAAGAACTTCACAATTTCGTTCGTGGTATGGACTCTGTCCCAGGAGCCAGCTGCGTGATGAGGCTTCCAGGAACTGAAGAATACAATGAAGCCTTACTATTTGGATCGACTTTGTGGAAGGGACCAGTTCCTATTGGCAAAGAAGTCGAGATCCAAGGTACCAAATCTGGTATTATCCATGAAGATGGATTGTTGTTAGTAGGCTCTGATGGAGAATACATTAATGTCAAAAGAGTTAAAATAAACGGTAAGTTACTTAAAAGAAACATTTTTATTCCGGAATAAAAACATTTTTTTCTTTATTGTTTTAGGTCGAATGAAAAACGCTGCAACTTTGGATCAAGTTTCAAAACAAGTGGAAATAGTGTTAACTCCAGAAGAAAAAGTACTAGTAGAATCGGTAAGGGTCATTTGGGAAGCCATTTTGAATATCGATATCGAAGAAGATACAGATTTCTTCGCTAGTGGAGCGGGTTCAATGGATGTTGTCAGGTAGGAACATTTTTATTTTATTATAAATCTGTTGACACGTGAGTCCTCTATATAGCACAGTTTTCTAGTAAACGTAAAAATAGGAAAACATTAGTTACTATAAGTGTGATACAACTATAAAAAATCCTATGTATAAAGTTACGCATGGATATAACGGGCCAACAACAGGCCCAGGGTCGTCAGATTTGTATGGTGTCGTATATCTACCGCGCGATGGAAAGCCACGGGCTGGGCTAAATAGGATCGAAGCATGTCCGTTTGCTTTCCATCGAGCAGTAGATATACGACACCGTGCAAACCTGACAAACCTGGGTACTTTGTTGATATGGACCCGGCTCGGACCCGATGGAAAGCAACGGATCTGCCACGGGCCAGGCAAAATAGGATCGAAATAGGCCCGTTTGATTTCCATCGCACGGTAGATATTTGATACCACATAAAATTTGACGAACCTGGACTCGTCGTTGGCCCGAACCCAGGTTCGTCAGATTTGTACGGGGTCGTATATCTACCGCGCGATGAAAAGCAACGGGCCTATCACGGGCCAGGCCAAATAGGATCGAAGTCTGCTTTTTATCGCGCGGTAGACTTAGGACACCGTACAAATCTGACAAATTTGAGCCCGTTGTTGACCTAGGCCCGGCCCGTTATTACTATACGTACATATTTTTTTAATTTTTTTTAAAAAAGACAATTTGAGGGGTATAGTTTTAAAGTATACAATCTGCATGTTTTCGAAATTCTTAGTAGACGAAAGAAAACTAATAATTTCTTAAATACAAACAATTAAGGAAGGTACTTTTTATTTTTTATTGTATTTATATCACATCTAAGAGTTATTATACCAATTTTTTCCTTAAAATTTTTAAAAACATCAAAGTTATTTTGAAAAAATATTTGGAGACTGTACGTTATGGAAATAACAAATGGAGTTTGTTCATTTTGAAAATAACTAATATGGGGTTTGTCCACTTTGAAAATAACAACATCATTTTTCATTAATTTTTAAATTTTTATTCATTATAAAAAAATAATAAAAAACATTAAATTCAGTCAAAAAAAATTAAAAGAAGAAATAAATAGTGGGTACCTCTGTTGTAAAGGTATTTCAAAGCCATCCTTTGTAAGATGTAGCCAACAAATACATGCTAAAATGTATAGAAAACAAATTGCAAGATATTACACAAATTTATTTAAATTAAATAAAAACATACAAATAAAGTGAATAATAATACCTACCAACAATTTAAAAAGACCTAAAATAAATAGACTTAGGGAACTGGAGCTCTAAAAAAGGGAGCCATAATTTGTTATGCATCCTCATCTATAAGAAAATTATCTTCATCTCTTCAATTACCTTTTAAAATAAACCAAACCAAAACAGCACAAAATTGAAAGTGATTTACTTTTCACGACGTATTCTATGTACATGTGAGATTATTAATAATTTATTAAATTGAAATATTTTATCCTAAAAAATATGGGCATTTTATAATGAAAATGCCATTTAAAAAAAACATTGATTTTTTTTATATTGGCAAGCCTGGCGACTACAGGTCGGTACGCGACAACTCGGCGATGCAAAGCCGGCGACGGTCAACTCGGCGATGCCAAGTCGGCGATGGCCAACTCGACGATGGTAAACTCGGCGACGATCAACTCGGCGAAAAGGAATGCAATTATTTATTATAATACAATTATTTATTATAATACAATTATTTATTATAATACAATATAATATACAATCTATAAAAAAAATTGATTAGAGAACTTGATTAATAAAATAAAAATATATAAGAGATTTTAAAAGTGGCAATAAAATCAATTAAGGGTTTTAACTACAATTAGGGTTTCTAATACATATTATTAGAAAGCAAATTAAAATATTAAGGGAAAATTTAGAGCTTAAGATTTTTCAATGCAAAATAAAAATAAGATATAATATATTATAATATTAGGTTATGAAATAAAAAAAATTAAGTAACATATTATATGCTGAAACGGAATTAAAAAATAAAAACTGAAATAAAAAAAGGTTGATTATAGAATATTGTTATTTATTATAATACACATTACAATTATTTATAATACATATATTTATTATAATACAATATAATATAAAAAAACTAATTCATGTTGTAATTATGTGATATCCCTCTGAGATACTCGATCAAATTTTGCCTGTTATAATTGGCCACTTTATTTAAAATCCTCTCGTCGGCTTCCTCATAACGTTTCCTTTTTGTTGTGCCATTGCGCCCGGCAATTGCTCGTTCATAGTCTGCATCGTACGAAGACTGTACCTTTTTTAAATTATCTATGAATGTCCATAACGAAGGATGAGCAATGCCAGAACCAAAAGCCAGTTGCAACTTGCGATGACATGCTTCTGCAAAATTATTTGTCCTATCTCGTCCATTCAATGTTCGGGATTAGTATTGTACATTCTTAGGAGATTGCAAGAAGATAAATGCTTTCGAAGATTTTTGACCAAGTGGAATAAGCATCCTCTAATTTCGGCTTCTGGGAAAACTTGTCTTACGGCCTGGTGAATTGCCAACTCAAAGTCGACACTGATGCTTTCCGGATTTAATTGCGGCCAAAGAACTTTTATCATGTTAAACACATTGAGATATGTTTCTGCACTTTTATTGTGCAGCAAGCAATATAGTACAGGAAAAACTGAACCCTTCACTTCATGCGTATCTTTTCTTGCCAGAACAACAAATATTTGAGCAAAAAGTGGAGGACACAATAAGAATGTGCCGTCAACAAATAATTCTTTCATGCTTGCACTCCATGTTGCATGGTATTCTCTACCAAATATTAGAATTCGATGTAGATCCACTTGATCTCTTCCGGAATCTGCCAGCAAAAAAATCTCAAATTGAGTAGGGCTGTAATAATATTGCGAGTACACTTCTGGGATGATAATTTCACTAAGAGTTTCTGGATTGGCGGGTGCTTTGCACATGGTTACTCTTACTCTTTGAATGTTTCTCCGCATAACACTGGAACTTGAAAGCATTCCTTTAACCGCAGCTGGTACATTTTCCAAAACTCGTCCTCTGATTTGGGCAGGATTCTCCATCGTTGTCGCGGCCAGGTGCTTCACAGTGGTATTCATTTTTTTCAGAACAACATTTGCTGCATTTCCTACCGTACTACATGTGTGTTCATTTCGTATACATTTGAAAGAACCATCCATAATATTGGTCCATATTCTTCCTTTGCATCTTTCATGCTTGTTTTCGCAGCGCCAGAATTGAATGGTGTTGTCCTTGTTCGTTTTATCCTTCGTGTATAGGTAGCCATCCCAGTAGTACTTTTCGTGGCCCTTTTGGCTAAGAACTTTATTTTCCATCTTGAGTCTCAGTAAATAAAAAACTCACACAGACAAATAAAATTACAAACAATGTCTTTACTTCTGAGATGAATTCGGAATATTAAGGAAAGTGAATATCACCAGTCTTTTATAGGATGTAGGTACAAGTAAGCAGGTAATTATCAGGTAATCTTTTTTTTATTTTGTTTTGAAAAATCTTAAGCCCTTAAGCAGGCAATTATAAGGTAATCTTATTTTTATTTTGCTTTGAAAAATCTTAAGCCCTTAATATTTATTTGCTTTCTAATACTAGGTATTAAAAACCCTAATTGTAGTTAAGACCCTTAATTGATTTTATTGCCACCTTAATTTTGTAATTCCAAACAACTTTGGCCATTAAATTTTAATTTCTTAATCAAGAAGTTTCTTTTTCAGATTCTTAGTTTTAATATTTAATATATTTTTTCCTGTATATGTTGATTTACTTTAGTAATAATAACTTTTTTCCAGTTTCTTATTTAAAATCTCTTATATATTTTTATTTTATTAATCAAATTCTCCAATCAAATTTTTTTTATAGGTTGTATCTTATTTTGTATTATAATAAATAATTGAATAATATATTATTGTATTCCTTTTCGCCGAGTTGATCGTCGCCGAGTTTACCATCGCCGAGATGACCATCGCCGACTCGGCACCGCCGAGTTGACCGTCGCCGAATTTACTTCGCCGAGTTGACCTGCTCCGACTACAGGTTGCCAGATCAATGGGCGACTACTATTTCGAAAAAAATTACATCCAAAATGGACTCCTATGTCGCAACCCCCTTAGATATACCAGCCCTGGTTATAGGGTATTCTAAACATGACATCAGTGGGCAGGTAGATGAAAGTCAAGTATCAATATGGCTACCATACTGTAGGTCCAAACTAATTGCTTTTTCACTCTGGATAGAATGGACAAGTATACAGTATGTTAACCGATGAATCCTTCGAAATAAAGATGAGACGCCTAATTATATTTGCACATGAGCGAAATAAAGAAATGCTCTTGTGAGTCGGCTGCTTACCTGCCGCGATTGGACAGATGGATATACATTGTCTATTATATGCATTGCATATTCTATATCGTTCTTCAGGCGTCATTGTAGGAATGTTAACATATTGTATACTTTAAAAAATTTTTTTTTCGATTTGAGCCGAAAAGAGGTTATTAAGATAAAATAAATATTTTAAAAATAATTTACGAATTTTACCAATTTATAAAATAAATTTAATTAATCCTTATCCTGGATTGGAACTCCTGACCTTTCGCATGGGAACTCAGTAGGCTATCTCCAAAATGACAACAATAAATTTTTAAATACTGATAATGAGGTTTAGATAGTTTTAATAAAATTTACAATTTATATAATTACTTACACAGAGTTGTCATTTAAAATTAAGAAAAGATAATAGCCAGGGGTAGAATTCTCGAGTCTCGCATGAAAATTGTCGCACACGGCAAATGTCGCATACCAAATTCGCATGGTTGTTAAAAATCGTATTTTTGAAAATGAGTGAATCTAAAATCACAAGCGAAAAATAATGCGAAGGATTGTATGTGGCAACGTAGGAAATTATGTCAACTGTCAACATTAGAAGGTGTTCTGTGTTCTGTTTATTTATTAGAACCT